TATGATGTCAGTCACAATATAGGATAGAGTGGGGCAGAGAGGGGAGTCTGAATATCAATGCAGTGGCTTTCCAGTAGGTAGGAAGATAGGGCTGAAACTGCAGCATTCATGGATTCTGTGTTGGAGACCAGACATTTCAGTTCTAAGGCTGCTGAGAGACCGAGTGACCTGTGCAACCAACAAACTCTGCTCATCTACACACATCACAGAGCTTTTTGCAGCCCAGTGTGGTATCTCTTGGTTCTCTGCACTGTGATATTCCCAGCTGACAGCTGTCCTTTGAACCACTCTGGAAAGAGGGTAAGAGATATTAACTAAAAAATAGAAACACTGGGGATGATCCTACTCCCCTGGAAATTTGCTGGAGTTTGTACTCCGATTTCAAAGGGAGAAGGACCAGAGCTGCACATTGGTATTTCTTACTCAGTAATTTTTCGCCGGTTCTACTATGCAGCTTCAATTACTATGTTCAAATCAGGCTCGAGCCTTTCATACCTTTCACTTAAAAGGGGTCTGAAACCAAGACTGCCCTGGGAATGTTGAGTCATCTTAGGAGAACCTGTGGTTCCACTGGTAAAGAAGATAATCATTGGGTCTTGAATCCTTGTTTTCACACAGGAATGGTCAGCAGCTTGGTTTCTTTAAAAGAGAGAACGTAATAACGATTTCAATGGTTCCTTTACACAGGCTTCAGAATGTAATGAAGTATTCCAAATAAGCTTCACAGAGTTTCACAAAATTATACTAAAATATATATACTTCCTCAAAGACAGACCTCCCCTTAAAAAGAAGAGGGTAGAAGCATCCCAGAATGAGACCACTGTTAGCAAACATCTCAATGTGGATTAGCAATCTATTAACTCATACTCACTTGTAGAGCTCAGTGAAGTTCAGCCACCCTTCCCTACTGTCCTTGGACACCATTAGCTTGGTTTTCAGAAACTGACACTCAGATGCCACCGAATCCACTGTAGGAGCCAGTTTGTCAGTGGTAATTATGCACGTGGCCTTTGATGCCTGGAGTCGATATAGGATGTCTTTGGCTGATAACTGGGATACTCCTGGAATTAAGACAATTCCTGGAAGAGAGATAAAGTTAGTTTGGGTTGGCATATTTTTTTTACGTCTGATTCTTTTCTAGGAATCTAAACTATAAACTATTCCCAAACTGACCTCTGATATGGATTTGTCCTGGTGTTCCCCAGACAAACAGTTATATTGAATAATGCAGGTGCTTGTGCTCTCCTGTAAGCAATGACATGTGGACCTGTCTGGTGACTTCCATGGCTCTTCCCTGTATTTTGGCACCTTCAGGCCTGCTGCACAGGCCACCTGTCCTATTGCACCTAGTGCAAACCCTTCAGGACTGCCTGCATAATTGGTAGTTGGGCCACTCACTGGATTATTACATTACTTTTCCTTCATAAACCACATACATTCTTGATCCTTTCAACCTACTCGCAATAACCATTTTGCCAGTCTCAGATATGCTCACTGACCTGCTCTCATACAAGCCACATTCACCAGCCACCACTCTGGGATTCGTGGTAGGATCACAATAAGTCTGTCCCCCTTCTGCAGCCCACATTCTTTAGTCAGCACATTGGCCACTTTCCGAGACAGGAACCCCAGCTCCTCAAAGCTCCACTTCACTTCTTCTCCTTTTCCATTTATCCACCAAAACGCAGGGTTTGGTGGTCTCTTTCCAGCCTACAAAGCATAGGGATTCAAACACAATACATTTTCTTCTGACAGACCATGAAATTATAATGCAAAAACACCTGCAAATTATGGAAGATCTGAGTATTTCACAACTGGCATATAAGCTGTTATTTTTCCCTTGTCCTTAATGGATTGAGATATGCTATGCATCATGCTCAGGTATTCCCAATAGATTCTCCTTTTCTGAACCTGAAATGTTTACCAACCTAATTGTCTCCAGACCCAAATTACTTCAAATGAATTTCAAATTAGAGTATCTCATTGGTACAACAAAAGATCATCTACCTTTTCAATCTCAGCCCATTTGTCCAGTACATCACTTGCATAGTTAAAGTACTTTGGTATTTCCTGTTTGCCTCGTCTGATGGACTCATATTGGGAATGCACATCAGAGGCAAGCAGCCTGGGGTGTCCATGGAGAGTCCTGTTAGGAGGCTTCAGAGTCCACAAGAATTTTAGACTCTGCAATTTAAACAACTTCATGGCAGAAAATGAGGTCTGTAGATGCTGCAGACTATGTAAGGAAATGAGCAGAACTGTTGCTATGAATCCTGCAACAAAAAAAAAAAACCAACAAAAAGAGAAAAATAATATTAAGATTATCGAAAGAAAATCCAGTTATGAATTAATGAGTTATTAATTGAGTTCACTTAGGCTAGTAACAGCCAGACTGATGATTTCAACACTCCAATTAAATGTGAAGTTCCCTATCCTGCTTTCTCATATATTTGATTTTTTAATTAATTGCCTACAACTCTCCATACTCAAAACCAACATCAGATGTTATCGTTTGCATTAGAATAAGGTTCCTGCTTCTTACTACAAAGCATTCATTAGCTAATTCTCTATTCCTTTTCTACTAGACTTCTTCCATTAGATACTCACTGCTTTGGCTTCAACAGTTGCTGACTGATATATCCATTGACCACATCCATCCAAAGAGCCTTCACTTCAGTGATCCCTTGGCCAGGCACCAAATTTGATATAGACATTTCTGCATATGCTTCTTGTAAATTCTCTCTTCCACCTGTATTCACCATAACAATCCTAAAAGCTCTCAAGTCTAATTACTTTCTTTACACTGCTACTCTTTTATTTCTCTTTATATAATCTTATAATGCTGCTGCTGATTATTTCCTTTCCACAGACCAGAGGATTATTCCAAAGCTGTGCTCAACTCTAAAAACTGTAATGGTATTTAGAGGCTTCTCATAAGTGCACATAAAGATTATCAAACAGGGGGAAAAGAAACTGGCTTGGGTCTAGAAAAGCCCACAGTCAGAGCAGGAGCCAGGGGAGTCCTGGAGGCCTCTCATGATTTCAGAACCTAAGTCCAACTATCAATTTGCCTTTTTCAACCACTAAACTCAATTAGTTACTAAACTCAATACAAGGTTTAGGGTAAGTTACTCCAGAAATACAGGGTAATTTTCATTTCTGTTCTTACAAAGGATGAAACTA